CTGCCGCCTGCCAGCCCCCTCCTGAGTCCGACTCAGCTGGCAGAGCACAAGCGTGGCTGGCAGAGTCACAGGCCAGCCTTGCACAACTGCATATAGGAGGAAGGGCTTGTAGCTCAGGAGCTGTCACATCTCTAAAGAGACACACTGAGTCCAAAGTATTGTCATCGGAGACTAGAGTCTGAGAGGCTGCAGCCAAGAAGTGTAAGAGGTTCGTGTCACACGTGTGTGTCAGACAGTAGAGAAAGGTGTGTGCATGGCTCTTCCGGACTTGTGTGATGTCCAAGCTGTCTTGTTCTTTTAATTATGGTTTACTTCCACATTCTAAATAATTGGCTGAGAAGTGCATGGTGCTTTGTTTATTTCAAATAAATGAGAAAGACTTTTAACCTTCCCCAGTAAGGCACAGCAGTCACAAAGACTCAAGAAGGAAGGTGATGCCTTCAGACCCCTGCTCCAAGGGAGCCCAGCCCAGCTGGCGAGCAGAGCTAGTGCTCAGGCTCACGGCAGGGCAGAAAGGAGAGCAAGGAGAGCAGAGAGCAGAGACCAGAGTGTCCATGCTTCTCCTAGCCCTCTGTGCTTCCTCCCAATCCCCATCCGCGCCAGGGTCTCTCGAGTCCTGAGAACAGTCCCATCAGCCCTAGCACACCCTGCCTTGGAGAGAAGAGCACAGTACAGTGCTTCTGCTTGGGGTCAGAACCACCCCGACCAGGGACGGAGCCCTCCCCCGACCATTGTTCTTCCTTCCTGTGGTAGGCACACTGTGTGGACGGCAACGACCTTACACCTTGCTTCATTTTGTACAGGTCATGGAGTATACTCCTCCTCCTTTCTCTCTCTCTCTCTCTCTCTCTCTCTCTCTCTCTCTCTCTCTCTCTCTCTCTCTCTCTGTGTGTGTGTGTGTGTGTGTGTGTGTGTTTCAAGACAGAGTTTCTCTGTATAGCCCTGCCTGTTCTGAATCTCACTCATAGACCAGGCTGGCCTCGAACTCAGATCTGCCTGCCTCTGCCTCCTAAGAGCTGGGATTAAAAACATGCGGCACCACGGCCTGGCTTCTTCTCTCTTAATGTGGCAGCCCGTATGTATTTCTCTGTTGTTGTTCTGGTTGAAGTTGCTTTATATAGCCAGTTTTATATAAACCAAGCAAACAAATAACCATTAACTCTTCAAAGGAAGGAAATGGTCCTTTCTGTCTTTTGTTCCTGTAAGGCTTTGTATCAGCCCTTCATTCAGTTGCAAGTAACAGTGATCTAGAGACCAGTTACTTAACATACGAGGTTTATTTCTCACGTGAAGTGGTCCTTGCTAGTCATAGCAGCCCTGTAGGTCATGAGCACAGCTTCTCCAGTCTCTGCCCTGTGGCCTTAGGAATAACCCTGTGTCGCATGCAGCAGAACAGAGAAATCGAAGACAAAAATATGTTTCCATTTTAAAAGGCATGTTTCTGAAAGCCCCACGGATCCTTCTGCTTATGTCTCTTGGCCCAGAAACTGGAAATGCAGCTACCCCAGCTATATAGCAAGCTGGAGGATGGTCTTTCAGTCAGTTGATAATGTGCCTGACTGAACCCTGAGTCTGTTACTGTAATGATTGAGAAAATATGACAGGCAGCTCCGTTGGGTTAGTAGGCTTTGGGGCATTGATGAAGCACATCTACGGGTGTGTCTGTGAGGGTTTTTCCAGGGAAGATTGCTTAAGGAAGTAGGGAAGACCCACCTGAATATGGGTGGCCCACTCCTGTGGACTAAGATCCCAGATGGAATGAAAGGGGAAGGGGACAGCCAGCCCAGCGCCTCCAGTCGACTCTGCTCCACTTCTGACTGCCTCGTGCTCATGGGCCTCCCTGCCACGGTAGCCCAGATCCCCTGAGCTGGGAGGCAGAGTCAGCCTCACCTCCCAGGAGTTGCTTCTGGTCAGGTCTTTGGTCACAGCAAAGCAAATGCAGCAGTTTGCCTCCTGAGGAGAAGCTGTGTGCTTTGGGATGACAGTGCAGTGATGATGGGGTAAGGACTCTCCTGAGGGAAGAGCTTTAAAGATCGAGCGTCTGAGAGAAGAAATGTCCAGAAGAGCTCTGATGGTGGGTAGGCTCGCTCTCCACACCGTTTATGTGAGGAAGAGTGTCAATGGAACTGAAGACCTGTTTTGTTTTGTTTTTTACTACTTAAAATTTTTATTAGATTATTATTATACAAATCCATAAGTTAATTTATTAATTTGAAAAATATAGACAGAAAAGCAAACAAATACAAATACCTGCTACTTCCTGAGCCCAGGATTAACATTTTAGTGTGCTTCACCTCAATCTCATTTTCATACATGAATAATATTTTAACTTTTAACAAGCAACAAGGGGTCCGTTTGTATTGATGGTTTGCTGTAGAAAAACAAAAGGCACACAACACAGAGTTCCACCTGCCTACATCCCTGGCCTGGCATCTGCCTTCAATCACAGCTGGAGATAGATGTTTCTCTCTCTCCGTTTGTTTCTCAGCAGCTCCAAGCTGTCCTCTCCCCTGCCACTTTGGTAATCGCTAGCGTATCACACGCACGCTCCTCACTTGGTACCTTCCCCTCACATGCTGGTCTGCACCCTGCTTCCAACCCTGTCACCACAGGGCCTCTCTTGTCGTGTTCCCAGCACTCCTCCCTAGAGACATTCCTCACTTATTAAACAGCCCAGTTGTTGGACACTTGAGTGCCTGCGATGGTTTGGATAGGAACGGCCTCCATGGAAATGAATTAATGGCTCGTAGATTCGAAGGCTTGGTCATTAGGGAGTATATCACTACTCCCTAATGACAGGAATTAGGAGATACGGCCTTGTTGGAGGAAGTGTGTCTCTGGAGGTAAACTTAGGGGTTTCAAATGCCCATACCAGGACCAGTGTCTGTCTGTCTGTCTGTCTCTTTCTCTCTCTCTCTCTCTCTCTCTCTCTCTCTCTCTCTCTCTCTCTCCCCTCTCTCTCTCTCTCTCTCTCTCTCTCTTTCTGCTACTCGTGGATCTGGTTGTAGAACTCTCAGCCACCATGCCTAAGCATGTGCTGCCATGCTCCCCCCGCCATCATCATAATGGACTGAACTTCTGAACCCATAAGCCAGCCCCAGTTAAATGCCTTTTTATAAGAGTTGTCATGGTCACGGTGTCTCTTTGAAACAATAGAACAGTGACTAAGACAGTGGGTCCTCATCTTTTCTTACTTCAAATGATAAATGGTGTTTCTGAGTACATTTCCACGCAGGAACATAGCCAAAATAATAAATTGCTGGGAGTGGAATTGCTGTGTCAGATGCAGTTTGAGTTTTGATAGGTACTACTGAATTACTAATTTTGTATTCATTAAAACAGTTTCCTCTTCACCCAACCTGACAGTGTCTGATACCCTAGGGCCAAGTCAAAAGCATGTTTTCAGACTGTCTGGTTTTTTTCAGTCTGAGTCCTTAAAAATTGATCTTGGTCAGGTGACTCACAAATGCCTGTAACTCCAAGGAATCATACGCACACCCCACCCTGGCCTCTGAAGGCATGGACACATAAATAAATCTTTAAGAGAAAACCTATCTTGCTATAACTTTAATCTGATTTCCTCTAGTTATAAGCAAGGTTGGCCCATAGCTGTATCTCTGCCTTATCAGTGTTTCTGCCCAGTGCTCACACAGCATGATCATTAATCATGAAATTTCTCAGTGTACAATGGTCTCACTAACCAATAATTATCAAGAGGCTGGGATTGTCCACTGAGCAAATACTAGCTCTCCCAAATGTGTGGTGAAATGTGGTGTTGCTAATCTATACACTGCTTCATTTCTGAGATATTTTTAAGGGACTTAGAATATGGAAAAATAACTTAGGATTCCTATAAGAAAAGCAAGACCAACCTAGAGATGAGGTTAGTACACTGTGTATCTGTAGCCATGGTTGTGGCACCTCACGTTTGCCCCATGTAAAGAGCTCCAGAGAGCTCAGGACAAGCTGCCTCTCGGCAGCGCCCTGTTAGAAGCTGGCTTTCCTGGAGTGATGATGGATCAGAAAGTGTGGGGAGGGGAACACCTTTGCGCTGAACACCCCCATGTGCTGCCAGGAGAGTGTGGGGCAGCGGAAACAGCAATGGGATTGGAGGAAGGTGGCTCAGTCTGTGAGAGAAGAAGATCAGGAAGGACTTTCAGTAAGAAGTCAGGAAAGGTCAGTAAGACAGCTGCCTCCAGACAGAACTAAATATGGGCCTGCTGGGTATTTAGGTCACAGAAAAGGAAAGTGCTCAGCGCCATCCATCAAAGCAGAGGTGTTGTAATCTAACATCACTCTTATTCTCCAGAGATGCCTGTGTGCGGCATCTACGGTGCTCTGTGACCCGCTTCCACCCTGACCTGAGTCAGATTCCTTCTGTTATCTAAGCTTCTCTTTCTGACATAGTCATACATGGAGTCGAGCTCTGTGGGGGAAGGGGGATTAGCTTGGATGTTGACAGCCATTGCAAATAAACATTCACATTCCAAGCAGAGGGGATGAGTCTAAGAATGTTTAGAGACCATCTTCATGTTTATATCAAATGACGAGACTTTCTACCGTACTTCCTACATAAAATCGTCACTTTCAAGCTAGATTGAGCATTTGGTCCTACTACTACTATAGCTCTGTTGAGGGACTAGAGAGGTAGGGCAGTGCTAGAGAACTGCATGAACACAAGATGGAATCCCTGTGGTATTAAATTAATAATAATACAAAAGGACACAAAGTTAGAGAGATAGGGAGAGAAGGGCAGATCTGGAAGAAATTAAAGGGAAGGGTGAGAGTAAATATCATCAAAATACATTGTATGGAATCCTCAAAGAATTAAAAAATATTTTTAAAGACTCAAGGTTGTTTTATAATCTTGCATACACAAAATCATAGCCATTGCTTGGAATCAAACTAAACTTGCTTTACTTCCTTTGATGCAGATAAAACTGTCTCCAGACACAGCAAACAAGTGTTTTTGCTCACAGCACAGTGTTCTGTCTTTCCAGGCATCCTATAAGCCACTGTTGAAGCAGGTTGTAGAGGAAATATTTAATCCTGAGAAGCCAGATCCCGTTGACATTGAACATACGTCCTCAGGCCTCACTGATCTCCTTAAAACTGGATTCAGCATGTTCATGAAGGTAAGTAACCAGGAAGGGGTCATCCTCAGTGTCACAATGTCCCCTTTGCTGAGCATGGGAATGCTGGCACACGGTTAGCCCTGCCCAGTACCAGGGAAACAATGGTCTTCCACAATCAGAGCAATCCTCATTGACCATTTGATGATGTGCAGTGTGAGCTCACAGCCTCCCACAGCTTCTTTGGACCTGAGTCTTGTCGTCTTTCCTCAACAACACATACAGCCTTGGTGGGGTCACAGGGCATCCTCAAGAGCACCGCTGGAAAGCTTTTACACTCATGATCCATTTGTTACCAGCAGGAGTACATATACTACTGTACACTGGGCCTAGTGGCGATCTTTGCTCTTGGTTCTAGAACTTACTCTGTAGAATAATGAACAACTCTGCATACTCCTATGACTAATATCACCACAAGACTCATTAGCCATGATATTTGTTATGGTCCAGCAGACTCGGTGAATTTCTTTGGCTCATGTCTGGGGTGGGTGAGAATGACTGAGCAGCCCTTGGAGTAGGGATGAAAGGAGAAGAGAGCACACAAATGGGATCTATTTATAAGCCACTGTAAAGTTTCTAAATTTAAAAGGATCTAAACAAGATTGCAAACTGACCTCCCAGGCTCTGCCCGTATTTCAGCAGTAATAACTCTTAGAAATAACAGAATGTTTTGCCAGCTTCAAAGAGTCTTTGAAATCATGAATTAATCTGCATTAAAAAAATCCAGCCTTTTGGAGTTCACTAAAAGCATATTCCAGGAAAACTGGCCCATTCCAAACAGCAAAGAGGACAGAAGCCAGACATCAGACTGGAAACCAAGCCGTAGATTGGCTGGAGGGCCTTCCCCTTTGTTCGGCTCTTCCCAAGTACCAGAAGCTTCTGACGCAATGCTGGCTGCTCATTTTCTTTCTTTTTTCCTTAATAAAGCAATGCAGCTCAACTTCTTAAAAGTGTCCAGGGCTCCTGTGCTGAGTCTAAGCCCAGAGTTGTTGGGCCACTATCTGCCCGTCTGTCCTGAGTAATTCTTCCTGGTAGCCATTAGCTTTAAAAAAAAAAAACAAAACAAAAAAAAAAACCAAAAACAAAGATTGAAGGAAGGAAGGGAAGGGGAAGGGAAGAGAAAATTAAAAACAGCAGTGACTTCTGGAATAGCCAACAGCCATGGTTTCAACCCTCTGCACTTAAGTGCCTCCTCTACAAGCTTGGACATCCGCTGGTGACCATGGACTGTAGCAAGAGGTTGGTTGTGAGTTGATTCCCCACGTGCATTTTCTGTCACTGTCCCATGAATCAAGAGCTGTCACACTTGAAAGTCCCCCCCCGCCCCCCCATAAGCTCTGTGGAGTTTTTCTCCTTGTCCTGTGCTCAGCCACCCCGCCATTCCCATGTGGCCTTGGGAAATGGGGTATTCAACCCCATTGTTGGAACTCCTGAAGAAAGGCTTCAGCAGCAAGCTGACCTCAGAGGGAAGGCTCCTGGGAGTAGATTAAGGAGGAGAATTTGTGTTCTCCTAGCTGCTATAACCTCTCAAAAAGCCATGTTAAGAAGGAGGCCAAACTAGACAGAAGGATGTCCGTTCCACCCCAATGCCTGTGGACAGGGAAGGAGGGAGAGTACAGAGACTCACAGGGGGTGTGAACAGTGCCCAGGTTCCCACACACAGTGATAATGACAATCCATGTGGACCAGTCAGCCAGAGCATTTCTGTCCACCCTCCTCTCCATCCTCATGACAACCTTAGCAGGTAGGTCCTATCCTTATCCCTCTTTTGCCCAATAGGAAACTGAGGCTCCACGTGGCTAAGCAGTGAAGCAAATTTCCAAAAGCCTGGATTTCATCTCATTCTCTCCTGTTCTCACATGGTTTCCAGAGAGCACACAGTAAATGGCAGCTCTGGGGTGTGTCCTCCAGTCCTGCCCACTCCAGAGCACTTGCCTGTCACAGCAGTCCCTGCCCTGTAGCGCTGCCAGGCATGTTCTTGGAAGTTAAATATCCCATGCTATTAATTCTGGTTCTCTTTGGGATTATGCAGCTGCCTTCCCTTTCCTGAATCAGTACAGCTCATGAAGAAGGTCTCTGCCTGGCTTGGTCATGGGGCCACTGATGTGAGTGAGATCATGCAGGGTTCAGGGGCACCTGCTCTTACTCACACTGCTTTTCTGGGACTTGGGCCCAGGTCTCATGGGAATAATGAATCCAGGCATTGCGGATATGTCACCCTACACGTTATATCTTGGTTCTGAATCCTCAGGGGTAGTTACTGCTCCTCTCTCAGGTCACTCAGTGCCCTGTCCTCTGCCCCCGGAATGTGTCCCCTACTTTCTCACTCAAGACTTGTAGTACTGAGCCAGAAAGAAAGGAAGGAAGGAAGGAAGGAAGGAAGGAAGGAAGGAAGGAAGGAAGGAAAGAAGGAAGGAAGAGGGAGGGAGGCAGAACCTGATGAACTAAAGCCTTCCATGGGGAACCTTCCCATGCACGGCTACTGTTGTGCGAACGGGAACATTCTCAAAATTTAACTTGAGCTGGAAGGGAGATGCTGGTCTGCCCCTGGTCAGTCCTTTCTCTGCACTCAGAGATAATTTCCTGGTGGACTTGGGGTGACCAGAGGCAGTCTACCCATGGTGTAGGAAATGGATGATGAGAGTAGATTGGAGGCCTGACAAGAAAGACATGCATGGAGAGACAGGGCCCACAGTCACACCACAGGAAGCATGGCATGAGTCTCATAGCATGTGGTAGAAAGAATGCAGGAAAGGGTGGTCCTGGCCTGTGGATCTCCCTCAGGGCTCTCTTTTGTACATACTCCGGGGCTGTATTTATAAAGTGGTTTATAATTATGTGTCTTGGTTGCCTTTCTCCAGGCTGATGCCTTTCAGAGTAATGTTTTTCTAAATATTCAACATAACCCGTTGTACGTGGGCAGGTTAAGACAGTTGGGGTGGCTGGAGTGAGCACTGCATAGGGGAATGGACCAGACCAGAACTCATTACATCTAGTTAGGTCAAATAGCCCAGCCTCGCCTCCTATATCTACAGATGCATGACTTGAACATTTTTCTCAGTTCAGATCTGACTGAAAACACTGTAAAAACTATGGCTAGAGCCTGGATGGCTGATCTAGGTTTTTATCTTCTGGATGCTCGACACTTGGCATTCTGCATACAGCAGGTACTTACTAATGGGGAAGGGCGTGTCAGAGAAGATGGATTACAGAGTTCATTTAGCGTAGCTTGAAGCCATTGGTTTCTCTTTCAAACTGCAAAAGTCCCACTGAGTGTAGCGAACACCTTCTGAGACTCTCAGTGAATACCCGAAACCACAGGTATAAGCCCTGTGGACACGCAATGCAGTGCCTTTTGCCACTAAGCAAATGGTGTGTGTTGTGGTCATAGTGTGTGCAGTTTGCAGGTGTGACAGTGAAACTAGACCTTCTTTCCTTTTTCCTCCTTCACACTTGCAGTGGTTGAAGGCCTGTTCTTAACACGCATCTTAGCCACCTCCACAGACAATTATCTATTTCCTCATCAAGTCAAGAACTTTCATCTTCCCACTGAAGTACTTTCCAGCTTTTCTTTGGCTTATCAGATTGGCCAGCACCCTGCTTTTGGGACATAATTTGCACTTTGGAGCCATAATCAGGTAGATTAAGGAGTGCTTAAACACAGTGCTTTGATGCTGCCGATGTTGGTTGATAACCCAGGTGGTTTTTTGGTGACTAAAGAGGGGGTGTATTGCAGTATGGGCACTCTGGACAAAGGGATTCTCTCGGTGACTAAAGAGGGGTGCATGAGCAGTATGGGCACTCTGGACAAAGGGATGCTTCATTTCCAGGCTGGAGAGAGCAGGGTAAGATTTCATCATGTGTCTCAGAATCATTTGCAACATAAAATTTAAGAGATTGGTTTCTGGAAGTTTCTTTTTGTACTATAAATAACTGAAAATGTGGAACACAAAACCTCAGATAAGGAAAACTGCTGCCTGACCCTTAAGCCTGAAGCTTCATCCAAAATTTTCATGAATGAGTGGCACTATCAGCCAACTCCAGTGAGCCTCATCAGCTGCCCTCATCCTCCTGTCCACCAGCTTCTGAGCAGGTAACCCCAGCTGTACATCTACTTCACTGAGATGGAAGTCTACCTCTACTCTATCTCCATCCCACAGCACAGTGTTGAAGTCTGTTTCTCCTGGTGCTTCGCCTCCCTGGAGAATGGAACAGAAGCAAAGGCGCTGATGTTATAGAGTGGAAGAACTCTCCCAACGGAGTGGTAGATAAGGGGAGCAGATGCTGGGGAGGCTTGGGGTCTCTTCTCCATGTCGCATTTATTCTGTAGTTTGATTTGTTGAATAATAGGTTGCTCTCTTATCTGTATCCCCCCCCCCCCACACACACACACACCTCCATCTAGTACATGCTCTGGGAACTTCCTTCCAGGGTCTGTCTGCAATGGAGGGGGTAGAGACCAGAGCCACACACCTGCAGTCAGGCTGTATGAGAATCACTCAGCCTCTCTGTGCCTCCGTTTTCTCGTATGTAAAATGGGATGGCAGTGGAGCTGTTGTGAGATACGTAATAGCATGCTTAGCACTCAGCACCAGGACTGTTTGTAGTCAGTGCTTCTTCTTCTGACTGTGGTCCCTGCCAGACAGTATCTTTGAAGAAAGAACCACGTTGACTATCTTTATACCCTATACGTAGCCAGTGTCTGAGTGCACACACAGGGAAGGCAGAAAGATTATGAGTTTGAGGCTATCCTGGGCTATTCGCAAGAGCCTCTTTGAGAGAGAGCGGGGAGGAAGAAGTCAGGCATGGTGGTGTATGCCTGCAATCCTAGCATTCAGGAGATAAAGGTGGGAGGATTGTGTGTTCAAAGTCAACCTGGGTTGTATAGTGAGCTGCAGGCCAGACTGGCTGCACAGTAAAACCCTGTCTCAAAAACTCAAATAGCAAAAGAGAGTAGGGGGAAAAAGAAGAAAGGATAGAGAACCTGTTTTTAAATGAAAGCA